ACTTCAACTCCCAGAATTCCTGAGCCAGCATGGCTCAGCTTGGAAACCTCTCCCTTTCCCCTCAGCATGGCTGGCTCAGGAATTCTGGGAGTTGAAGTCCACGAGTCATAAAAGAGCCAAGGTTGCCTACCCCTGGTCTATACAGAGAGAGCTGAAGTGATGGTTGTACATATTATTCTGTCCTTGAGAAGAGCACAGTTAAAAACAGAAGCATTTGAGGAATTTATACGAACCAGCCCGTCTCTTTCCTTTCCTCTTTTTTTCAAACATTCATTTCTCCCTTGATTTTCTTACAGATAAAAAATATATTATGTCATGCAGTTAAGGAAATGGTAAGAGCTTTGAAATCTCACGAACATGAAATTGAAGATATCGAAGAAAATTAAAATATATGGATTCCCTCTTTGGGCTCAAAAGAAAATGATCTATCGTATTTTTCTTTACGATAAAGAATGTTTTCACTAATATAAGCTGCACGAACCATCAGTGCCAAGAAAATATGTTTCTTATATTTACTTGCTACTGATACTGCAACAGAAAAGGCTCTCCTTTCAATGTTTTTGATTTAACTTGAGCTTTTTTGAAATGGGAAACTCTAAATAGCATTGAGCTGTTATGTATTATAGTGTAAATGAATTTTTCAAGCTGTCAAAAGTTTAAGATGTATTTATTTTTGGAAAAAAACTACAGAATTCTATGCTCTATTGTTGATCAAATGTAAATGTGATTTGTACAGTTTGTTTAAAATAACTTGGATATTTTTCACTGCATTGAGACAGTTAACTGTGAGAGTAGGATACAAACACCAGCTATTGCCTGCAATTGAGATATTGCTGAATCCGCACAGCAGTCATGTCATGATCTGAAAATTACTGCCAAATAACTGTAAACTTTGTATCATAAAAAATATATGAAATATATACTAGACACTTCAGTATTTTATTGAAGCTATTCAGTGTACAATTAAACATTTTCAAAAATGTGTAATTTATTTAAAATTTGTCTCATTTTGGTAAAATGTATGTGAACTTTTAAAGCTAAATATAAAACCTAATATGCTATGTAAATATATACATATATACATTCAATAACGTATTTTTTTAAAATGTTGGCTTGCTTTAAATTGTTAAAAGTGCAAGTGTTAAACATGCTTTGTACATCAAAAGTTGAAAGGGGTTTTACATTTTCCATTAAAAGGACTTTATCAAACCTCATTGTCATTGTGTGTTTTTCACATTCTGTGGCACATTTGTGAAAGACGTGCATGCCTGGGCAGTCATTCACAATGGCTGTAGATGTGTCTTTGTAATGGTGACTATGTAATGGTTCATTTAATGTCAATCTTTTTGCCCGTTCCAGAGTTCCTGTGAAAGTGTTAGAGCATCATTCAAAGTAAGTTTAGCTAATGAAGAATAAACATAATTAAGTTATTGCTTGTTATGCATTGTCTTTAATTACAGCTCTGGCTATAGAAAAATGCTAGCTTAAAATCAGTTTAAAAAACTGCAATTGGCAGATACCTAAAAACACATTCAAACACTTGGACTAGGAAATAACAGTTAAATAACATTCTTTGTATTGCTACCAATAATATGTAATATATATTACATTTTAAATAAATATATTTATATTATATAGTAATGTTTCCATTCTGGCTGAATTAAATGTAGGTAGACCTTTTATTTGGATGGTTACAGTATTCCGAACAAACACAATGTATGTAACATAATTGGGATGTAAATCTAAACAAATTATCTAAACACTTTTAATATGTTCTAGCTCTCATTTTCAAATTGAGTTCAAATATTTAGGTCTATGTAAAAACCTTATGTCATTTTTAAATTACAAAATTAAAACATGTCAATAAAAGCTCAAATAGTAACACCCATGCTAGTAATCTGCACAGTATGAATTATAAAATAAATGGAAAAATGACAGTAATTTCTATCGAGTATTTATCCTTGTTTAACATCCAAGGCTTGTCGAATCCTAGGGGTGGAAGGAACCTGGAAGTACTTCTAGTCCAGAGCTCCGCAACCCGTGTTAGCAACCAGGCCGCACAGCTGGAGATGCGCAGCAGGTGAGCAAAACCATCCTCCTCCGGTCTGTGGAAAAATTTGTCTTCCATGAAACTGGTCCCTGGTGCCAAAAAGGTTGGGCACCCCCTGCCCAGTGCAGGAATCCTCGTGCTGTTCTGAAGGAGAGGATGTCCAGTCTTTCCTTGAAAACGTCCAGTGATGGAACTTCCATAACTACAAGAGACAAGGAGGTCCTTTGCCTAATAGAGTCACAATTGGGAAACTCCTCTTTATTTCAAGCTTGGATCTCCCTCCCTCTCCCTTGTGAAATCCCAGCAGAAGACGGATACTGTGTCCCACCTCCACCTTCTCTTCTTCAAGGTAAACACTTCCTTTAACCACTCTTCCTTTCAGAGTTCTTAGAACAAGACTGGAGAATCTTCCTAGGAACTTTCTGCACTGCTGGAATCGGTGCAAAGGAGGTACAACAATTGGTTTCTGTTTTAGGATTTTCATCGTCTGATGTAACCTTTCCACTGAAGCCTGATGCCTTAGAAGTCTAACCGTTGATTTAACTCCAGGAAGGCATATAGCAGTGATGTCGAACCTTTTAGAGACCAAGTGCCCAAACTGCAGCCCCAAACCCACTTATTTATTGCCAGGTGCCAGGTGGGCGTGCCTGTGTTGGTCACGGCAGACTGGGTGGGTGTGGCCAAGGTGGGCGTGGTCACCTCAATGTTGCTTGTGGGGAGGGACGCCTGTGGGGGCCGGGCAGGGTTGGGCGAGATCCAGGGGGTGGGATGCATCTGGCCACATGGGACCTTGGCAAGTTAGCGGGCGGCAGGTTGAAGAGGGACGGTTGCCATCTCCAGGGCATGGCGCGCGTGCCCACAGAGAGGGCTCCGAGTGCCGCCTCTGGCACGTGTGCCGTAGGTTTGTCACCACTGGCATATAGGATTTTAATCTGCAGTGGTCCATTACTGAATAGCACATTTGAAAAAATATTTTGTAGAATCACATCTGAGCCTACAGGTTGGAAGGCTAGACATCTCAAACCTATTTCCTCAGTAACCCTCACTGTCTGCACACCTTCCAGAAGATGTTTCATCTGACGTCCTTCTAATGGTGAGATGGATAGGGTTCTCATCACTTGTACTGCATTCTGGCAAAAAGGTAAGCATGGGGTGAGGGGGCGGGGGGGAATATAGCTTCTGTAGGTGCCTTCTGGCCATTTAGTTTAAAATTTTAAGTAGTGTAGAACGCACAGAGTTTAAATCAAATAATAATGATAGACCAAATAGCATACATGGTAAAAAGTCATCTTAATGTACTGGGCTAAATTATTACTTAGTAATAAATTTGTTACTTCAGAACTAGAATTCCCTACAAATAGATATTCTCTGTAGCTTGATTATATCTGCATCTTCAAGATATAATCAGATATAATCAGTGCAGTATAAAGTGGTAATTAGTACCACTTTATACTGCACTGATGAGGCCACACTTGGAATAGTTCATTCAATTCTAGTCACTACAATAAGAAGAAAAAAAAGGGGGGGTGGGACTCTAGAAAGAGTGAAATTGTTGTCACTAAGTTACAGTCATAAAGCACAAGCACCCAAATACAATCACTTGATATCAGAGATGTTGCACTGACCATAATTCCGAGGAACAATTGTTAAGTCCTCATTCTAATAAGTTCTGTTGTTGAAAAACAGGTGATAACCCAAGGAACACCTATGCAGATATTTTCAATTTTCTGCCTTTAAACAGATCTGAAAGTAGCAGCTTATTCTTCTTTTTCCTTAACTCGGTGTAACATCCCATGAGTTTGATCAAATGATCTTTAGTTTTGTTCCCCATCCCTTATTTTCTCTTGACTAGATGGCACACATCTACAGCCAAGTACTCTATACAGTTATCTGTACCTCCATCATTTTAATACATAATTTATCTCCATGGTTTGAATATAGATTATGTTTCTTATTTCTATAAAGTCCATTAGTTTATGCTTAATTAACCAGATTTCTCTGGAATCCTTAGGAACAACAGATAAATCAGATACCTTTTTACAGTGGTTCTCATTTGCGTCATAAGATTCAGTTTCTATTTCTAAAGTCTGTTTCAGAAAACTAACTCCTGAGAGAATGGCTCCATTCACTCCAGTGGGAAGAGGCCTACTCCAGCTTGCTACTTTGGGTTATTAATAAAAATAAACCTTTGAAAAAGGTTTCTAGGGATATGGGATGGAATCTATTGTGGGAAGAATCCAGAGAAAGAAATATTTTGGGAAATATTAAAAAGGCAGAATATATTTCCCCAAAGGATTTTAAAGGCAGAAACCAACCCCCCCCCCCCAAGTCTCTCTGCCAAAAACAGAAACCAGATCTGCAGAAATGCAGATGGGATAATCTTGTCAGAAAGACTGGAGTCAGGGAGCTGGGATTGGAAAAAAAGATCCCTAGAATCAATCCCTCACACCAAAAAAATCCAAAAGTCATCAGCCACAGCCCCAGGGAAGCAGGATATGACCTTTGAGACATAATAGGAGTAACCCACCACCATCAGAATACCAGAAAGGCACCCCCAATCTTGCATATTCACCCCAACTGCACAGTATCTCTTGCACTCTTCCTGGGAAAATGTAGGAAATCCCCAAGACAGGCATAGTTGATAGGAAGAAAAATGTGGCTGTTTTGTTCTTAATTTTCTCTTCCCACGAATCTGCTCGCCTCTTCAGCATAGTAAGCTTTAGAGCAGGGGTCTTCAAACTTGGCCCTTTTATGACTTATGGACTTCCACTCCCAGAATTCTTCAGCCGGGCATGCTGGCTGAGGAATTCTGGGAGTTGAAGTCCACGAATCATAAAGACCCCTGCTTTAGAGAGACTTTTAAACTCTTCCGGGTTCCTCCAAATCACATTCAGAAATATTTATCAGGTTGGGACAATCTCAAAGAAACATCTAAGGAAAAACGGCTGACTTCATGTTGGGTTAATATTTATTTAATATTTTACACAAAGAAACATGCTTTAAACATTTCCATTTGTTAACTGTAAATAATCCTCTGTAAAATAAAACAAAGACAATAACCTTGTTTAGAACTATGTCTGCAGAAATATAAATATAGTTAAAATGCTATCGTGATAATTACATGCTACCAATATTGTTAAAATATTTGCAAAATAAAATTATTCAATTCTGTAACTTTACTGCCAATCCTAAAATAAAAATATTCAAATATCCCTTAAAACAGGGTAGACTACGCCTCTTTTTTTTAATATATTACTAAATAAAATAAATAGGAATTTTGATCTATAACAATGTCCTTGCACCCCACTAGGATGGTTGGCAACTCTGAAGCTCTTGTTCACCTTATAGTAAAGGGGTGTTTTGTGATTAGCCGTGCCATCTCTATGTATTTTGGGAACTGACAACTTTCCCACCCGCAGCCAGGCTGAGTGGTCTCAAACTTCCCAAGTGATCTCAGCCTCAACCAGCTGCTTCAAGCCTAGAAATGGATGGCGTTCTAGAAACCTGAGCACAAATCTGCTTAACACACTAAGCCATTTTAGTGCAATTGAAGCAATGATGCTAACTAACTCTGATGAAAAACAGCATTTTGTAGCACAAGCACTAATTTATGTAGTGTAATAATAAATAAAATGGAAGCGTCCTCCTCAAAACTTTTTAAAAGACTCCTTTTTATATTTCAATTTGCAATATAGGATTTATATGTTTTTACAAAGGGAATATACATATCTACAATCATATTATTAAAGCACTTCAGTTGATGTTTTTGGCTGATCTCAGGGCGAAGAAAACTAAACAGACTAATGTATAAGAGAAAGAAAGTATGCTGAATGTGAATCTCCTGCTATTGACTATAAAAAAACACAGCTGAAGCCATGTTTATTTTAGGGTATCGTTCTGCAAATCGCAATCAAAATGACTATTTAAAAAAAACGGAAATAAAGTCCAGCAATGGGAAACTCTCAATCCATTCAATGGGGTTTACTTCCAAACAAGTGTGCGCAGTATAAGTTTGACCAAATTTCTAGTTTATTAAAAAAAAAAAAGATGCAGCCAGAAATTACTTATATTATCAGTTCTAGAAAGGCACATTCAGGAATATTTTGCAGAATAAATCCAAATAGACTATGGCGGAGCATCTATTCCATCTTCCTTTATTCTAGCCGTTCAATCTGGAATCTGTCAACCACTAGAACGATGTGGTCAGACCTGACCTTCTGGACTACAATTCCTTCTGGGGTTTATGGCCTTGGGAGAGGAACTCCATGAATGCTGACAACTTGGCCTTTCCTATAAACAGCAAACAAAAGCTGCAGGATGCTTAAGCAGTTTACACCCTCTGCTCCTGGCAATCTCCCTCCTCTTCTTCCTTTGCGAACAGAAACCCTGTTTTGTTTCCTTCTGTTATTTTCCCGTAGCTGAATAAAAACAGAAACAAACACAGCAGAGTATAACGGCTTATCATCCTGTCTCCTCTCCTCCGTACACGCTCAAAGGAAACCGGAACTTTGCAGCCTATCTCCAGCATTTCACCACGTTCCATGTGCGCTCCTATTGTCTTGACTACTCCGTTCAAAAACCTCTTTCCCAAGGATTGTTTTAAAAAGATCCCACTCAGGTCCTCCTCTTCTGGGGTGAAGCAAAGCGGGTGCCCATTGCTTCTAAAAGGAGAGTAGTTTCACATAGTTTCCTGGGAAAGTGCCAAACTGTTGGGTTCTCCTTGATGTGCCTGTTGTGGAATAAAAGGCAGGAAAAACCCAGATAAGGCAGGTCACAGTGGGGAGATTATTTTAAACTGGTAATGCCTGAGCTTGTTTGTTCATCAGTGATCTTGATTAACTGAACTGACATCTAATGATTTCATGAGTTTGCTCTGGGGCCAAATAAAATGGTCGCGCTTTCATCCATTTTAATTTTTTTAAATAAAAAAATAGAAATTAAAATATATATATAACTAAGTTATGCAACTAACTTTAGTTGCAACTAATCTTTAGTTACAGTGAACTCCCAAAATCTACTTATGACTTAGCTCACAAGTTATGGCTGCTGCGGTGCGCCCAAAGACATTCATCCCCAAGACCGACAGGGATGCCACAGCGCCCCCATCCCCCATCCCTCGTGTCCCCACAGCCTTTGGACCTGCTTCCACCACACCAGGTCCCACATCTTCTTCCTCACTTTTCGAAGATCTCCAGAGTTCATATTCGGAAAGGAGGGCAGGCTGCTCCATTTCCGGGCTGTGGGGCACAGTCCCAGAAGCAGCTGCCATTTTCAGAGCACCCCCAATTCAATGCAACCACCCACAAAATGGCCGCTTCCAGGATTGCAGCATATGGCCCAGAAATGGATCGACTTGCCCTCCTTCCCTGAGTTCTGAGGAACCAAGTGTGCAATGGGTGGCATGGGGTGAGGAGGAGGGTACGGAGCTGATGGGATGTGAAGCACTCCATGCCTGTGGAGACCCCGAGAGCTGGAAGGGTCCTTGCCCTAGAACCGAGAGCTCGCTTAACCAGGCCCATGTTCATTTAATAACTACATCAGGAAGAGCAGGGATGGGGGGAGGGTCATGAGGCAAGACAGCCCATGGGCCTTTGCTTAACAGCTATCAAGACTTCCATCCACAATGGGTAGGCTCCTTTATAATAGTTGAGGACTACCTGGTGTTTACTTCCTGAGAATCTATGCTTATCTCAAGGGGAAGGAAATAATATATATCAAGGCAGCCAAGTCTTAGATCACAGGGTTGTGGTCACCATTTTGACTTTCTTACCTCCCCTCTGTGGATCCCCTACAGGTCAAATAGGTATCAAGATTGAAGAAAACTTCCCTGACGATGTTTGAAATTATTTTACTAAAGACTTAATCCCGTCCACTCTGTAGTAAGGGCCTTACTTTCACCTTCAAATCTCTCTCTGCAGATCCCCTTTTTACCTTGTGTCACAATGATGTGGTTCTCCTAGACAGCGATGTGGTTTTTAATATCCCCCTTAAATCTCGTGGATATTGATTGGACTGCACAGCCAAATGCTGGCAAGTTTGCTTACCAACAAACCAGCCATCATCACACTTTTCCATAACGTCTATGATATCTCCATCTCTTAACTCCAGCTCATCATCGTTCTGCGGGATGTAGCTGTAAAGTGCTCGATAGGTAAGCCTGAAGGTTCAAGATAGAGGGGAAAAAAGATGGCCACCATGAGCTTCTTTTTCCAGCCATGCTTCTTCAGGTACAGAGCAAAACAGGTAACAGGGCACAAGACATACTAAAAACTATTCTAAACGGCTTTTAATTTTTACGTGCATGTACATTGACTATGTAAAATTCATAGTGGTCTGCCAGTGTGACTCTCACAGCAAGATTGTGGTTTTTCCATGTCGTCTTAAGATTCTCCAACAAGAAAGGGAGGATCCTTTTTAATGTTGAATTTTATTACGGCGGCAAGGTTATTGATTGGGCAATATTGGAAAAAAGATACCTTGCCCACCTTAGAGGAATGGTTTTTTAAAGTTTCTTACTTTCCAGAAATGGCTAAAATTTCGGCTTATCTGAAAGACCATTCACAAGATAATTCTGTATGTAAAAGATTGGTAAACTTTGTTCAGAATAAATATGGGATTAGAAAGTATTATCTAGCTTTCGAATAATTTATAGAGTAAAGTTGTTATGGTTAGATTTGTTGATTTTAATGTAATGGAGTTAAGGGTTTTTTTAATTTCTTTAGGATTTATATATAGTTGATTGATGTTTATTTAATTTTTATGTTTTTTCTTCTGCTGTTTTTAGCTCTGTATTCAGCTCTGGGAAAGGGGGGAGTTAAGGGGAGGGTGGGAGGGTGGTGGGGAGGGATTTTATTGTAAAAACTTCATAAAAATTTTAATTAAAAAAAAAAAGAAAGGGAGGATCCTGCAAACTCATCGCCAGCAGCTATGAGTGGCTACATCATCAAGTGCAGGCTGTTTTTCTGGGATAAAACGGATAAAATTTCCTCTAAAACTTTCCTAGAGCTGCAAGATGCTAAATATATTACTCAAAACTGCAATCTAAAATGAACATAACCTCAAATCCCTTGACTTTATTCTTTTAAAAAAAGGAACATAATCCACCAAATCTAGAGCACGGGCAAACTTACATTTCTCGTGTCATGTGATTCCGGTCCAGGCCAATTTCTAATGGCAAGATTTGAGGTTGCTGAGAAATGATGAAAGATGATTTATTGTCACTAAACTGCCCCTTATGACAAAAGACAGGCTGAGAAAGAGTGCTGCAGTAATGAACAGACTTTTCAGCAATGTTTAAGATCTCATTGCAAACAACTTCCTGGATAATAGTGATAGGGCCCAGTTGCCATCCCGGGTGGGAATGAAGAAAACAGGAAGTGTGGGCAAGTCAGGATGAAATGCAATAGTCCAGAGGAAGCATTTAGCATGTCCAGGCAGACAACAGAGTGGTAGATCCAGAATACAATCCGGGAAGGAATGTGTAGAAGAAATCCAGGTTGTAAGCACAGAAAAACAGGCAAGATACAGAAAAATTGAGTATGTAGTTTTAAAGTTTATAACACAGCAGCAAAAGAGATTGCAATTAGTCAGAAAGCAACTCACATTTAACAATTCAAATCTGGGTATGAAATTTTGCCTCTGGCATGCAATTTAAGTTTTCTAACAATGCAATATATCTCAGACTGTGCTTTTTCTTTATTCATAGCCAACTTGGAGAGACTCTGCATTCACTGAGCCACCAAATGAAAAGAAATTCAAACCTCAGCTGTGGCTTCTACAAATGCAGGGCTTGTAAGGACTAGTTCAGTGGTTCTCAACCTGTGGGTCGGGACCCCATTTGGGGGTCGAACGACCATTTCACGGGGGTCGCCAAACAAGGCTGTCCGCCATTTTTTTCCCCTTTTCTTTGGCCACGCCCCTAGCACCCGGTGATGTATAAGTGGTTGGGGGTCACCACAACATGGGGAATTGTATTATGGGGTCGCGGCATTAGAAAGGTTAGGAACCACTGGACTAGTTGGTTTTTCTCCATTTTTATTTGTACTGCCATTTGTGTTTTGGCATTTATGCTGTAAAAACAGTCTAAAAACCTGGACACATGGAAACCCTTGTGCACAGGTGACAAACGCACACTCAAACCCTTGTTCGGCTCAGTAGTGCTGGCCACTGTGGAGGGCTCAGAGAGGAACTATGTGCAAATGAGGCTGCAAACAGGACTCTGGGGTGACCTTACCACATAGTTCTTTTCCGATTCTGTGAGTTCGGGTCCTGGCCTCAGTGAAGGCTGTTTAATTGTTAAAGTACATGAGAAGGGAAAAAATTTAGCACCGGTACCATTAATAGAGTCAAATCTTACAAACAGCATAACATAGATTTCCAACTTTAGACAGTTAATTGAAATAACAGATCTGGATGCGGGAAGAGGGAGCATGACATGAGAGGCACCTTAATACAACATTTGAGGTCCCTTAGCACAGTGGTTCTTAACCTTTTTAATGCTACGACCCCCAACTGGTCGTAAGTCGAGGACTACTCAACAGGTGCAGCACGGTTTGCAGAATGGGACTTTTGGCGGGCTCAGCAGGGCAGAGACAGCCTGGACAATTCCTATTGGCTTTTGAAAGCCAATAGAATTAGACTCTATTCAAGAGAGTCTATTCGATTGGCTTTCAAAAGCCAATAGAATAAAAGGGAGTAGCACAGCTAAGGAAAAGGGGGGAAAAAGGCAGACTGCGTTGTTTGGCGACCCCCGTGAAATGGTCATTCAACCCCAAATGGGGTCCTGACCCACAGGTTGAGAACCACTGCCTTAGCAGGAGGCAGATGTCTCCTATTCTCTGTGACCCCAGCTGGTACTGTGGATCATTTTATTGACTGGTTGATTGAGCATGTATGCCCTTGTAATTTTATCAGACTCCCCAATTTAAAGCATCTTGCAACCTACAACCAACCAGCCAAAGTAAGTGGGCCCTTCAGTGTGAGCACAGATAAAACAAAGTAAAGTGCTATTTCCACATAGTCAAGTTTATGGAATCTAGGTCAATGTTTGTAATTTAAAGATAAATACATTTAAATACCCCTCCTCTGAAAATCCACAGGATGTGAATTGTAATGTTATTTGCTGAGGGGCCCGTGGACAAATTCCAAGGCATTAATTCCTACAAATAAGAAAACTAATAAGAAAGAGGGAGGGTTGTACGTCCTGCATCTCCATCCAGCATTTCACTTTCAGAGCAAGCCAAGTTACAACGCAGATAAAGGACAAGCACTAAGCATTCGTGCCTGTGGTATAAAAGGGGTGGAATTTGCATCACGAAATTGGGATTCGTGTGCCCTCTTCTCTCCACTTCCCCCATGCCCATGGAGGGTGAATAAAAGACAGGAAGCAACAAAAAGAAAACCCAGCTCAGATTAATGAAAACAACATGAGACTTCTTGATAATATCCTATAATGTTGCAAGCCATTCTTGCTTCCAATCCTGCCTTTTCTCTTCAAACTTCTCAGGGCTCTCTCTACCTCAAGATCTCACTTCAACCAAGCCCTCTTTTATTTCCTCTGGGTGCATTCACTCTTCGTTCCTGCATATTATTTTTTTTTGCAATTCAGTTTTTCCTTGCTAACTCTCACAGCGGTTGCTTGCATTTGTATTCAACCCCGCAATGAGCAAGCTACTCTTGCGCAGAGATGGTGTTGGAAAAGGTTCCAGTCCTGGGGAGGGAGCAAAGGGGACTAAAAAAATAGCCAAGGGCCTTTCTAACCCTTGGATTCTACTGTTTTGTTTCCTTTGACATTCATTTGCAGAATGTCATATCACATGTTAGCTACTAGCCTTCTGGCAACATTCCTGTGTCTTAAAATGTCCCCATCCATTTTCCCCATCTTTAATACCAATTCTACATGTTGACAAATTCATCCTGCTGCTCTAAGCCTATCTGAACATGCCTCACCCTTCCACCCCTGGGGGGGCTGTGCCTGCCTGCCTGTCCCCTTCTCACTAGTATTTGCCAAGGCTATTCAGGCAAGCTTTTGAACCTGTTGCCATTTCCTTTCTTCTATATGTTTTGCGGGAGATGTTTAATTGAATGGTCTGTTTTTATGCAACTTTTCATATACTACTTGGAGTGTGGTAATGTGGGCAATATAAATGTATGTATGTCTAGTTTAATGAAGAGAAGGACGAGGGGGGACATGATAGCAGTGTTCCAATATCTCAGGGGCTGCCCCAAAGAAGAGAGAGTCAAGCTATTCTCCAAAGCGCCTGAAGGCCGGACAAGAAGCAACGGATGGAAACTAATCAAGGAGAGAAGCAACCTAGAACTAAGGAGAAACTTCCTGACAGTTAGAACAATTAACCAGTGGAACAACCTGCCTCCAGAAGCGGTAAATGCTCCAACACTGGAAGTCTTTAAGAAGAGACTGGACAGCCATTTGTCCGAAATGGTATAGGGTTTCCTGCCTGAGCAGGGGGTTGGACTAGATGACTTCCAAGGTCCCTTCCAACTTTATTATTATTATTATTATTATTATTATTGTTGTTGTTGTTGTTGTTGTTGTTATTATTATGCTACCTAGCCAAACAGCTGCTACCAAAGGACAATCCTGTCAAAAGAAATCTCTTTTTTTCTGCAGCTTTTGATCACAAAAGCCAAAGCCGTGCCTTAAATTCACTGCCTTCTGCACAGACACTACCACCTTAAGTGAGTTAAATTGAAAAGGTCAGGGGTGTAAGAAGTCTTTCCTTTTTACTGTGGAAGGCTTTTCCACAGAAAAGCCACCACCTGAGACGGTGTTACTTTTCCACAGTGGGATCCCTTCCAGGACAACCAGAAGCCAGCCCTGAAAACACCCCAAAGAGGAAAATTAAAGTTTTCGGACAATTTCTGAAAAAGAAAACCAGGCAGACCACACACAAATGTGGCCACACACACAAACAGAGAGGGGGGGGAGGGAGGGAGAAGCGAAGAGAAGAGAATAGAAGAGAAGAGAATATTCATTCCCTGAATTGTAATTATTCTCTTCCCATACCTTGGTTCCCCTTCCACCTCTTAGAAATATTAGAAATGTCATCTAAGGCAACCTTTTTTTAAAATAGAATGAAAACTGGCTGTAATTTAAGAGCTTCACCATGGGTGGCTGCACCTCATTCAAAATTTTCTCAGCCAGGCCTTTTTGGGCCAGTCTTGGAGCAGATTTACAAGCATTTCTCATAATGGACGTATGTTTAAGCATGTTTGCTCTCCTGGGACTTGATCAGCATTAGCACTCCTGCAAACCTTCCTCTCACCCAAGGCGAATCCAAACCATTAATGGAATACTGTAAAGGAGCAGACCCCTTGATAAACCAGCCACTGCCGGGTTAGAGGAGCAGTTTTACTCTTTAACAGCAAGGTGGTGGCTTCTCTATCTTCCCACATGACCTAAAATGCTCTAGTTAAAACATTCCTGTTTTCTTGTTTCCCACTGCTGTGACTGAAACCACATTTTAATCACAATCGGTGTCTGGAATCAGCCACCACAGGAGAATCTATGCATCCCATGCGGATAATCAGAGACGGCTTTGGATGAAATCTCTCACTTCCATTCTGCTAAGGGACATTTTAACCTTCATAAATTCTTTGTCACTCCAGAAGACACGGCTGACCCAAGGCAATGATGGGAATCCTGCCCTAGGACACTGATGGCGAACCTTTTAAACACTGAGTGCCCCAAAACCGCCCACATCACCCCTGCACCGCCCCCCACCCCGCCTGCCCGCAGGACCACCTACCACTTCCATGGCCCACTGTAGCAGATTTCCCAGGCGGCCCTGCAGCACCATGGCGGCCACGCCCTCCACCCGCGCCACGCAGTATCAGCTGCGTGACGGGGCGTGAGGGCTTAGTGTTGTCCCTACTGCCCAGCTGCCATGTCCTTGGGTGCGCTGCTTTGTGCGGGCCGTGCCCGGGGGCAACTCTCCTCCGGAAGGGCTGCTGGTGAGGAGAGGTCCAGAGGGAGAGTTGGGGCTGGGGCGACAGCGCACATGCCCACAGAGAGGGCTCTACGTGCCATAGGTTCGTCACCACTGCCCTAGGAAATAGACTAACAAAGCCATCAATGCTCTTCAAAGCACAAACCGGTACCTGTGGAGAAGTCAGGCTGCAATTTGGTGGTCGGTAGGCATAGCCTGATGTATCTTTCAGCACTGGTTGCTTAACTATGTCCACATAAGAGCCAGGGAAGATGCCTTGGCGAACGGTGCCAAGGATTTTCCCTTCATACCAGTTCTCATCTACCTGTCGAATCAGTGTGATTCTTTCTCCCTGTAGGAAAAAAAAAAGAAAGGAAGAAACATGGGTTTAAGTTCAGGACTTGCTTATGCTACTTACATATAAAGCAGTGGTTCTCAACCTTTTTAATGCCGCGACCCCCCAACCGGTCGTTAAGTTGAGGACTACTCAACCGGTCGTAAGTCGAGGACTATTCAACTGGTGCAGCACCGTTTGCAGAATGGGACTTTTGGCGGGCTCAGCAGGGCAGAGACAGCCTGGACAATTCCTATTGGCTTTTGAAAGCCAATAGAATTAGGCTCTATTCAAGAGAGTCTATTCTATTGGCTTTCAAAAGCCAATAGAATAAAAGGGAGTAGCACAGCTAAGGAAAAGGGGGGGAAAAAATGGCGGACTGCATTGTTTGGCGACCCCCGTGAAATGGTCGTTCGACCCCAAATGGGGTCCCGACCCACAGGTTGAGAACCACTGATATAAAGGCTGTATTTCATGGATGTTCTGTTTGCTTGAAGGATTTGATATCCTAAAATGGATTTGATGTCTCCTTTCTATTAAACTCTTTTAAATTATCTGGCTTGCATTTACAATGCCTAAGAAAATGGCTTAGCTTTTTGATTCAAACCTAAAATATTCAGAGATTCCAGTACAATGTATAGTTCACAAAGATAGAAAATAAAAAAAAGACACATAGACATGCATATATTTTCTATTTTGGCAAAAGAATTCAAGACTAATTATTACATATATAATAAATATATATATATATATATATATATATATATATATATATATATATATATATATATATATATATATGGCTTTTAATTTCTTGCCTATCTCTAGCATCAACCCTACTTGCATATTTTTGAACACTTAGATGCAAAACTAACGCTATAGAAATGTAAACAAATACGCTTGTTGCACTGGACAAAGTTCACATTAGGTGATAACTAACCTCAAACCTTCCATTTTTAGAAAACCCCGCACAAAATATATTTTTTAACATTTTAAATTTCCAATCCGCTGCTTAGAACATCCATTTGCTGTCCTTTGCAACTGAACTGATGTCAGTAGATTGCATGAGAAAGGAATATTTCAAAATGGTTTACAATGAAGCTCTCTCTACCTTCCTGAAGGACATTTCCACAGCAGTATCTCCACTGAAATTGAATTTGGCAACTGCATTTCCGTATTCCAAGATTTGCAGTGGCGAAGTCTTTTTAGTTTGGATTTTTTCTGCTGGATTAAGTAACTATAAAACAAAAGCAAAAGGCATATGTAAAAATCTGAAGAAGATACGACAGTTCTGATCTTGTGTCAGCTCAGCCAGTCCTGACACCTTGGGTAGTTTAATAAACAGAACAGTACCTCTATGTAACATTGTGGGAAGATACCCACTCGTCCATGGTGTTCGCCTTCGTACCAGTTCTGATCAACCTGCTTATAAATGTAAACAACATCGCCTTTCTGTAACGGGAGTTCCCTGTCAATAACATATTAATTCATGTGTTAATCATTTTAATAAAATCTCACTGACATCAAATTTCAAATACAAATATTAACAACTGGAAAACAGACCACCAAACATAAACATCTGTCCCCAGACTCTAAAGAACTGATTGCACTGGCAGTATTTAAAGACTGGTAGATCTCAAGATGGCGAATGAATGGGTACTTGGTCAGTGAAAAGACGTTCGTGAAAGTAATAGATTTGAAACTGGAGGAATCAGAAGTGGAACTGAAATTGCATCTGGTGAAGGTTTTAAGAGAAAGGAGGAGGCTTGGACATAGAGATGGAGATGGCAAATGGAACAAACATCTTGATGATGGCATTACACGATGGAAAGGCTGGAAGCTGTATAAAGATGGCAGACGATAAGGCATTAAAGGGGAGAAGCTACTGCAGGGGTGTCAAACTCAATTTCATTGAGAGCCGCATCAGCATTGCGGTTGCCCTCGGGGGGGAGGAGGTGAGTGCAGCCAGGGTAGGTGCGGCCTACTGGGTGGGCATGGATGGAGTGGGTGTGGCCTACTGGGTGGGTGTGGCCAGCTCTACATCATTCACATCAAGGGTGCCTGTGGGGGGCCTGGGCAGGAGTGGGACAGATCTGAGGGTCTCTGGCAAAAGGGGGTGGGACCGTGGTAAGCATGGTCCATTTCTTCATTCCTTACAAAGGGTGACACCTCCCCAGCATGCACCCAGGGGGCGGGGCCGACGCAGCAGGGGCTGGTTCCTCGCTGTTTCCAGATGGCCTTGTGGAGCTAAGACTGAATGCGTTTCAGCATAGATGGCCACCACAAAATTGTACATTGGCTCCCGGCCGGCCTGGGCCAGGGCCAAGGTAGCGGGGGCGGTTCCCTCACTGTTTCCAGGATGCTTCGCGGGCCACATAAAACCACTTTGCGGGCCGCATCTGGCCCCCGGGCCTTGTTTTTGACATGTCTGAGCTACTGTGTCATTCAGTGGAGGAGAAATGCTGGAGCAATGATGGTCAATGGACAGTTGCATGCATTCCATGGGTCAGAATAGCTGGCCATGTAAACACTGTTGGACTGCACTGAGGATGCAAGTGAGCAGCAAAACAGTATACACTTAAATAATTATCAGAAGGAAGGAAAGGGATAAAATAGAAAGATACTACAGACAAAGGGAGAAAATAACCAATACTCACTTTAATGTCTGGGCTTTAAAGTCAAACTTCACTCTGGCAGCTCTCATCTAGTGGTTGAAAATAGCACAATTTTTAAAAAATGCCAAATCTTCGGAGCATCATTTGAAAAGGGTATACACAACATTACAAGCACATTGTCAAGAGCTTCCTTTCTTAAATGTGTGGTGAATCTAGTCCCAATTCTTGGGTCACTAATGGTGGTTATACCTTCCTATAACCCTAGTAGGGCTCCTACTAAAATAAGAGAAGCACTACTTCAGTCTTTCCAGCAAGTGTGTAAGTTTGCAAAATCAGCAGTATCAGAATGAACACCACAGTTGCAGAATTTGTAGCCTATATCAAAAGTAAAGAAAAAAACAGACATAGGTGTTACTAGGTAAATTGGATGTGTTTGAATGAATGGTTGGACTCTCCTAAATAGAGAGGCAATGATAAACTGAACTACTCCAGAAAGCACAATCTGAGCTGCAAATGTGATCCATAGAATGAAATGGCCTTCTGGAATGTGTAGAGGGAAGCTTGGTAGATCCAGAGAAGCAATGGAAGCATTCTGACAATTCTCCAGAATTCAGAAACGATCATTTGTTCCTGTTCACCTGGGATGAGTGGCAGGAAGAAATAAAGACAAGGATTTCACATAGCTGTGAAATAAAGAAAGATAAATACATGTTCATGTAAAACATGGCTGTCTTGTCACCCACACGTCCAGTGAAGGCAAGTTAATCTGTTCTCTTAATATATGATTCCTTGCAGAGTAAGTTCTTTCTTTTGCCCTTTTTTAAAAGATCATTTATTTTGCCTGAGCTAAAGAGTCTTAACAAGAGAAATTACAGAACGAATAATGTTGCGGAGTGCACAATGCATAACCAAACTACCCGATCGGGAGCCACAAGACAATCAGACGTCTAAGCAGATGGCATAGAGGAGAAAAGGAAGCATTCTATACAGTGCAGGAGATGAAGCAAATGTTTGTTGACTTGCAGTAAAGGTAACTGCTGTTTTAAAAGAGGCATGCATCACATTTGTGCACAGGTATTCCTTACTCAGCAGGCATGCATTACAATATACAGTTTTCTGTAGGATTATGTAGAACAAGGCCAAAGCAGGTTCTAAGTAAAAATAAAATCAACGCTCGGGACAGCTAATGCTGGCCAAAAAGCAGAATGCTATGAAAAGCAACTATGAGTTGGGTCAAGCAGCAGAGTGGGGTAACCACAACAGACCTCTGACCCAGATTTCCTTTTGATTGTATCGTCTCTAATTAGAAGGTCCCCAAAGCGCTCATTAGTGATAAACTGATGGTGCGTAGGGATGACCCCTGTGTGCCTTCTGGCTGCAATATCAGCCTCTTCTTGCTCACGTTTAAGCCGTCTCTGGTCCTCTAAAAGTTTCTGCCATAAAATTGCATAAAATGGGCAGTAAATCATCCAATTTACAGCAATTTAATATCGGCAAAGAAATATCAGAAAACAAAATAAAAGAGTAGACAATCTCTCCATTGCAGCCCCAAAGTAAGCTTAGAGAAGTAATTATTGCATACTGTATATTAATCTAGATTGAAATAATCAAAAGAAGAACAGTTGGGATGTTTGTAGATGATGGGTCTAGTGCAGGGGTAGGCCAACTTGGCTCTTTTATGACTCGTGGACTTCAACTCCCAGAATTCCTGAGCCAGCCATGCTGAGGGGAAAGGGAGAGGTTTTCAAGCTGAGCCATGCTGGCTCAGGAATTCTGGGAGTTGAAGTCCACGAGTCATAAAAGAGCCAAGGTGGCCTACCCCTGTTCTAGCACAAACTGTCCTGCTGTCCAGTTTGTCTGAAAAGCATTATGCAAAGATAAGGTAGTGGCTAGAGCAGGGGTAGGCCACCTTGGTTCTTTTATGACTCGTGGACTTCAACTCCCAGAATTCCTGAGCCAGCCATGCTGAGAGGAAAGGGAGGCAGGGGTAGGCCACCTTGGTTCTTTTATGACTCGTGGACTTCAACTCCCAGAATTCCTGAGCCAGCCATGCTGAGAGGAAAGGGAGGCAGGGGTAGGCCACCTTGGTTCTTTTATGACTCGTGGACTTCAACTCCCAGAATTCCTGAGCCAGCCATGCTGAGAGGAAAGGGAGAGGTTTCCAAGTTGAGCCATGTTGGCTCAGGAATTCTGGGAGTTGAAGTCCACGAATCATAAAAGAGCCAAGGTTGCCTACCCCTGGTAGTTCATCGACCATTTCCATTATCCCCCTCTTTCTTAAGAACAGTCATGCTGAAGATCCACTGCTTATGCAGCCAAAATAGCACTACCCACAACCGAAGGCTTATAGAAATATCATTTTTAAAATCAAACTCTCAAAATATAGTCCACTGAGGAAGTTCAAGAGGGCAATAAACAGGGAAAAGCTGGATACCAGCCTCCATAGCAAGGATTTCATCTCCACTGGCAAACAGCCAGCCTTCTTTTTAATTTCCAGACTGCAAAGCAATCGAGTCAGAACAAAATTCCTATGAAACAGGAGCTGTAGCCTTCAAACATCTGGATGGTCGTTCATAAAAAGAAATTTTCACTACTATGGCCACTGCTATTCAGATTACTGTTATGTTATTGTAACATTCTCCCAAACAATGTTGTGTAGTAATCCTGGTCTATTTTAACTGCATAGTTTAAGGTTAAGTGTTGTTTTTGGACTGGAAACACATTTTGAAACCTTCAGAAGAAGAAGTGAGTGCAGACTTATCTAGATATAAAATGGCAGCTATAGTTGTAAATATTCATTTATCAGAAACCAAGCTACCTTCCTAGCGGGATTCTGCAGAATCCCACAGTGTTCCTTCAACTCAAGATGATGAAAGCTGATGTTTTGCTTTGTAAATAGCACATAATCTTCCTATGCCACTTTAAAAATATATATATTTTAAGGCTTAGGGAGCCTGCTGGATATCAAGGGGCACAAATGCTACTCATGGACACCACCACAGGATAATCTTGGAATTCACATATTTGAGGGGATATTTTTTTTTTTAAAAAAAATGGCATTCTAAGATTAAAGCATGAAAACAAATGCTTAGACATTTCACATGCTTAGAAATTTCCTTCTCAACTTCAAGAGACATTAAAGAAGCTTTCACAATTCTCCTTTTGTAACCACTATGTTTGTGCCTGTTTCCCCAAAAGATTAGACTGCGCACAAATTTGCTTTAAGTCAATCAATCATCAATCACATAATGATAACAGGATTTGCTTGCCATCTTTTAACAAGCTAATAACAGATTTTTCATAGAGATGTAAGGATTAAGGCACAAATACCAGTTTCTAAATATAAAAGTATGGACAAATACAATTTTACTTTACAGATTCCTGCTGTTCCCAGTCTTCAGACAACTATAATTCTGTGATCAATGCATCTTAACCATTTTTGTTCTGCTCCATCCCGTGTCAAGTGACCCCCCCCTTCTTTCCCCAATGAGTGATGGGAAAATCTTCCTGTTCTTTTTGCTTGAAACTCTGGAGGGAGGGGAAAACATCCCCATTAAGTTGTTCCTCTGAATATCAGCAGGTTCCAATGCAAGAAAAGGAATTGAAGTGGACTGACTGGATTCTGCAGTGCTCTTGCACTACTCAGCCACTACTTAATGGTGCCCCAGACTTTCTTCTATTTCTAAAGCAGACCCAGGCTACCACTCCAAATTATGGTGACATAAAAATGATGAAACATGCACTTTCATACTTGCATCTCAAGTATGGGATGCAAGTATGTAAATCGTGGATTTCGTTTTGTGACATCAGCTTGTTTTGTCACTCTCCCCTCCTTCCCCCTATTGCAGATACCTACGGTTAGAGCTGAACTATGGTCACCAGAGGCGCTTCAAGAGGCCATCCCTCATGCAGTTCTAGCTTTCCTACCTAAAGCAACAGAAAAAGGTAAGGACTTGTCTGATTGGTGAGCATGGCAACCAATCTGGGAAGGAGATCAATAACAATCGTTCCAAAACTTTGCTGGACTATTTAACAAAGTCTCACTCTGTTCTGAAGGGCTTACTTTGAGGCTGATCCCTATAGGCCAGGGGTCTTCAAACTTGGCCCTTTTATGGCTTATGGACTTCAACTCCCAGAATTCCTCAGCCAGGCACGTGTGCCTGGCTGAGGAATTCTGGGAGTTGAAGTCCACAATTCATAAAAGGGCCAAGTTTGAAGACCCCTGCTGTAGGCTTACTTCCAAGTGAACAATATTGCACGCAATTTGTCTTGGTTACCAATGATAGTCACTCCTTTTGATGAAAATCAGCTGTTTTCTCTAGCACTCTGTTCTTTAGCACTCAGGTTTATTCTCAACTCCTTTCAGGTGTTGCTGTTGATTTATTTACAAATGTATCCCAATCTTACATTCCCAGGGCAGTTAATAAATGCCAACTCGAAAGTTTTGCTTATGATCAAATATTGTTCCACTTATCACCCACCATACTGATTTTGTGAAAATAGCATCTGTAACGGGAAAGTTACCTCTTTATCGCTGCTGCGCCTTTGGAAATTTTCTTCAGGACTCTCTATATAATCAAGTGTTGCAAAATGTCTTGGTGATTCTGAATCTACTTTAAAACAACACAATGTCATTAAAATTGATGTATGAAATGAACCAAGGAGAAAACAAAAAACAAAACCTTTACTTGGATCAATTGACTTGAAATAATTCCTTAATTTGCTAAACAATAAGCAGACAAACTACTGTGGAAAAAAAATTGAAAGAAGAAAGTTTTAGCCCATCAGAAGACTCGTCAAAGAAAACAATTTCTGTTCAGCAATTATGATTTAATGTTGCTGAGGAAGGGTGTTTAATTGCATGCAATAATAGTAACACATAGACACTCACCCACACATATACAGATACATGTATGGATGAACACAAAACAGGTACTTCACAAGAATTGAAAAAAAACTGCTCCTAGATATTGCATTTATTAACGTTGTTCCTTAGGGATACAAATTACAAGGATCTTAAACTGGTTTCCATAAATAAATCACCTTCTAAATGATGGCATTTGGGACAAACTGCTTTGATGCTGATTAGAAGGATAGCAGAAAGGATTTCTCAGTAGCTGAGCCAAGTCTTGAAATGTAAGCAGGACAGGACATACAAGGAAAAGAACGAACACAGTAGAGGGGGTTAAAAAAAAAAAGGCAGGAAAGGAAAAAGAGGTAGAAATGGTAAAGTACATCAAAATACCACAAGCAGCGTACATCCTGAGTCTCTTGGGTGGGTGGGGGGGAAACTTGCTCATGTAAGAAGCAAAAGGAAAATTACCAAACACATTTGCAGTGTCCAAAAGAAAAACAGAACAGTTTAGCGGGAGTTTCAAGATTCAGAAAGTGGCTCATCTTATGATGATATCCCAACAGACAAGGCATGGTTTTCTTTCTGCCCATATCCACAAAGTTCCTGCTTGACTGAAGGCTAGTCTGGATCTCACAGCTGGACAATGATGGATCTCCTGAGCACTGCTGACGAAAACTGCACTGCTAGACCTTTTTCTAGCTGAAGAAAAATAGGCTCAGGGGACATATCAAGCTGCTTATTGGATAATTCCCTTTGGAGACTCTTTTCCTAATCGTGACTCTTGTTCCACCTTTGGTATTGCTACAAGATTGGGATGAGGTAGCAGCTAGATTGGCCATATCCGCTTGGGCCAATTCTGTTTAAAAACAGCTGGTACTGAAGGGTTAATTTCGCAAATGCAGCAAGTTAAGAGAAAGTATGTTTGGAGATCTATTCCAACGTCTTCCAGTTAGAGTAGATTCCCTTCTTTCTTTTAGCCATCCTCAGGATTAGGGTGCAAGATCAAACATCTTCCAACAGGAGTCCATGTTGATTGACTTGATGTGTGATTTTATACAGCCTGGCAAAATCCTTCCCCTTCTTTTGGATGTTTGTGACTACTTTCAGCACAATGTTTTTCTTGCTATTCATAAACAAACTATAGACGTTTCCACAGCTTTCTATTTTCCCATTAGTGAAATATGATTACAAAATAAGTGGAATAGTAGAGCTTTGAACTTGAAAGAGGGGATGTGAGCAATGTAGATATTTCCCTCCTCCTCCTCCTCCTCCTCTTCTTCTTCTTCTTCTTCCTCTTCCTCTTCTTCCTCTTCCTCCTCTTCTTCTTCTTCTTCTTGTGCCATATCCATTATCGGACATTGGTGGTCATGTTTTTATCACCAGCCGCACAAAAAAGTGCTGCTGAGTTTTGTCCAAACCAAATCTCTTTCTGTAAAGTTCCTTAAGTGGATTGTGGACTAAAACTGCCCCAATTTTATGAGCATTCTGACCTTACAAATAATTATTTGGCAATCAGCTACTATTTCAACAAGCATTATTATCAAGCCAACTATCCCAATGCTAAATCTGTGCACTTGTTATAACTCTAAACAATTTAGAATGAATTAAATGGGTGGCAATAGAATACATGTATAATTTTAAAACACACACACACACACAATTTGTTCCTATAATAAAAATACCCTTAAATTTCATGTTATTTTCAGTCAAAGAATAATGAATTTTATCTTCATTTTGAATTTGAATTTCTAAGACATTAAGTATCTCACTCAATTATGTGATTTATAATCTGCTAAGGATCCTTGCCAGCTTCTCATCCAACTCACTTATAAAACCCAAAAGAGCAAAAGGCCAGGAACAAATTTTGTGATGTTCCACTTGCTTCTTCTCTAGAGCTAGATGAGAAATGATGGATGAGAACTCAGAATAAGAACCCTGCACTAGCTCTGCACCCACTTAATTGTCTTACCATCCAAGACAGAATGAAATAGTTGGTTAACAAGTAACGTCATGGGAATCTTGTCAAATCCTTTGCTAAACCAAATCCCTCAATGCCTCAAATTGTCCCATAAACCTATCACGGATGTCGTTCATTTAAAAATGAATAAAATTGGCTTGGCAAAAGTTGTTTTGACAAACCAATTACCGGCATCTGGTAATATTCACACTGTTTCCAAGGTACTTACAGATCAGTCACCTTAGGATCTGCTCTAGAATGTCCCCAGATAAAGTCTGTAGTTCCAGAATTTTCGTTCCCCTCTTCAAAACAGAGATGACATTAGTTGTCCTTATTTCACCCAGCATTTCATATAATCTTGTGAATGTATCAGATAAACTTTGTACAGGTTTGGCCAATACTCTGGGTGAATTATTCTGGACATTCTGGAGATTTAACCTCATATAGTTGGATTTCTGAAGAGAGGGTGGTTTTTTTAATTCCTTTTCTAGTTCCGGTCCTTCTGAAGAAAATTTTGATTGCTAAATTTCCAATCACAGAAGTCTCACAAAGACAAACGCTGTGATGCCAAACCAAGGAGGAAAGATGATTCAGCTATCACACTCTAGGTTAGTGACAACGTTATCATGATCACAATATTAAGGGTTCATACGATAATGAGCCAAAGTCTGTCATCTCACCACCCTTTCTTTTATGCAAGCTGCTCTTAGATGCAAAAAAAAAATTCAGGCTTTTTTTTTTAATTGTGACATGTGGAATCTTGATATAAGTGCAATACCATGTTATACATTTACTCTTCATAGTTTGATCACAACAATGTTCACTTTACCTTTTGTGGATGCTGAACTGGATGGACGCTTCAAGCCACTCAGCCCTTTCAATGGGATATCTCCTCCTTCCAAAACACTTTTATAAATCTGTCTTTCATTTCCCAGCTCAGTGAAATGACTAAATTCTGATTCCAACTCTGTCTTTACAGGATGGTAGCTGGTATATAAGAAGGAAAACATATTTTCTCAGCAACTAAAAGCAAATTATTAAATAAAACATCTAGAGTCATGCTATCTGGTACCCCCAAGAGAACCGCTAAATGCACCTCTTGCTTCAGATTAATTTCAGGAATTGCACAAAAATGTGCAATCCATGGCAAGCCTTTTATGAAGCGTATGATTTGACTCACCACAAGAAAGAAAAATGAGTGGAATAAGGCTTATCTTCGTCAAATGAAATGCTTTTAAAAAGTTCAAGCTAGGGCCTCACTAATTCAAATATTATAATACCCACTTTTTGCCACTTAAAATGTGAAAATAAAAATTAACTATTTTACTAGATTGAACTATTTTGTTTGATAAAATTTAATATTAATCTTCTGATGTTTTCAGAACCTGCAATGAATAAAGTAGATTTTGGGGTAGGAAATTTCTCTGACTTAGGTTGACTCTCTTGTTAGAGAATTTTAATTTCTCTATTGGTGAAAAAATAAATCAGAAGCTCTCACAGTTGACTGCATTTAGCTGATTCAAATAACTTTATATTTATACAAAAATATTTACAATACCATTCTTCTTTACAGCAACATAGCTTAATGAAGACTTCTTACAGAGGCAGACCAGAGACAAAACTTGAGACTGGAAATCCAGCTCCTAACTCAATACTCTTTTTTGCACAGACTCAGTCGCACTTTCTTCACATTGGCTGACTGAGTTACCGCATGACTCTTCCTGTTCATGAATATTCCAACATCTCTCTTCCTACACCAGTGTTTCTCAACCTTGACAATTTTAAGGCATGTGGACTTCAACTCCCAGAATTCCACAGGCAGCAATGCTGGCTGTGGAATTCTGGGAGTTGAAGTCCACATGCCTTAAAATTGTCAAGGTTGAGAAACATTGTCCTACACCCTTCCTTTATTGGAATTTGCTGCTCTCGATTAACTAGTATAAAAGATCTGGCCTCTTTCCACTGAGTATCTGAACTCTGTCCGACAAGTCTAATTAGCCCCCATGCTTTTTCTCAAAGGAAACAAAGTGCTAGATCAGCCATAAAACAGACATAAGGAATGCTGATTCAGAGAAACAAAGGCGCTGAGAGGCAAATAAGTCTGCCGAAGTAGCATCTCAGCAAGGTACATTTTAAGATCCTTCTGAATTATAGAATCATAGGGTTGGAAGAGAGACCTTGAAGAGCTTTTCTTTCATTAGAGTTTAGCTCAAGTATTCTCCACAATATTTCATCACTTAATAGTAATAATAATAAAGTTGGAAGGGACCCTGAAGGTCATCTAGTCTTCATGGACTTTGTGGAGGTCTTCTTGTCCAACCCCCTACCCAGGGCGATAGAGCACCCACAACTCCATGAGGCAAGCTGTTCCACTGATTAGTTGTTCTTGCTGTCAGGAAATTCATTTCCATATTGGATCTCTCTCTGATGAGTTTCTGCCTTCTCTTCGTTAGGCTAAACATACCTAGTTCCCTTAACCATCCACCATATGATTTAGCCTGATGAACAGTTAAGGGAACTAGGTATGTCTAGTCTAACGAAGAGGAGGCAAAGGGATAGCTATCTTCCAGTATTTGAGGGGCCATCACGGAGGAGAGAGGTTAGACCTATTCTCCAAACCAACTCAGGGCAGGACAAGAAATAATGGGTAAATAGAAATCCAGCCTAGAACTAAGAAGAAATTTATTGACAGTGAGAACAATTCATCAGTTGAACAGCTTACCCCCTGAAGTTGTGGTGCTCCATCACTGGAGGTTTTCAAGAGACTGGACAGCCATTTGACCTGGGTCTATAGGGTGCTCAAGCAGGGGGGGCTGGACTAGAAGACCTCTAAGATATTTTCTAATGCTATTGTTCTATGCTCTGTGACTACAGTACATTTATTAGTGATCAGACACAGAAAAAAAATGAAAGAGGGGGTAAAATATGAATGTAGTTATAACTGCTGTTGACTGGAAGCCACATTACTTTTTTTAATTTCTATTTCTTTATTTCTTTTTCACTTTTTTATTACTTTTCCCTATTCTTTTTCTCTTCAATTCAAAATCTGGATTGTTTTTATTCTGTTGAAAACATATTTAATAAAAAATATTTTAAAAAATAAAATAAAATAAAATACTGCAGTTCCAAGTACAGAGACCGGAATAGGAAATGATATCCTGCATGTGAAGGGGATAGAAAGGTCAAAGTATATAACCCAAGATTTTCAGACCATCTCTACAAGTACATGAAGAACAGACAGGAAGACCTAGATGTATTAATACAGAAAGGCCATTATAATTTGTAGGATAGGGTACAGTTCAGAGTAAAATGCAAGCCTTGAAACGTATTCAAAATGGGAATGTCAGTCCTTGAAGGTAGGCCAGGTCAGGAAAAAGACACCATAAGGACCACTGAAACGTTACTTCATAGTAACAAGATACAATAACAAAATCTTCAAAGCCTGGAAGAATTTATCTTGCCTCACCTTATACTCAAGAGAATCAAGGCAGGTCAATCTTGAGTTTCTTTCTCATCTCCTTCTCTCTTTTAAGGCTAAACAGGCTTTTTCTTATCTGAGCAATATGCTTTTGTGTTGCTCAGCTGAGTGCACAGAGAAACGAACCCAAAGGAGTGATTTTTTTAAAAAAATGATCAACCCTAAATTTTTTATTCTAAATTTTTCAATTATTACTTCAATGGCCTTTTATTCATATTGACTTCAAGCCACATGGATGAACAATATCCATTATATCCCACAAATTTAAGGAAAAGACACATGAAATTCCTATCCTAGTGTGCAATTAATAACCCTTTAAGACCTAGAGATGTATTTCCAAAACATGAACTGAAACATCGAAGAAATATTTCAAAACTTACTGAGGCAAATGTTCTGAAAGAGTTTCCTGTGGAGGGGAACTTGCTGCATTCTGCAAGAATCCAGACAAAGAAGCACTTACTAAAGGATACTTTATGTTAAAGCAAAAGATAAAAGATTATTAACCTCTATCTAGAGCTCAGATTTTGTTTTATTACCAGGTCTCATGACAGATTGTGAAATAACTAATAATCTATATTTCCCTCATCACAGAAAATTCATACAATCCATACTGTAAACATAAAGCTTACTCTTTTGCCTGTGAATGTTTTACTAAAACCCTAACAATAAATAAAATGATTGTTTATACCAGTGGTTCAACCTGTGGCCCGTGGACCCATGGAGCCCGCAATGTCATCACAGAGGATCCATGAAAGCTTGAAGAAATGGCAAGTCAATCAAGTCAAGTCAAACTCCAACCTTAGGCTGCAGGGAATGTAAACGGCTAACAAGCTATGATTAACCTTACCTTTAAAAATACTTCAAATTTTTGAGGTCAGCTGTTTTTTTAAAAAAAAAAATGTTTAAAAATTAATCAAAGTACGGGGTTTAGGTTTTAAAACTAAACTGAACTTCTACAAGCTGGAAATAAAAACAACTTGGCAATATTATATCTCTAGATTTGTCTAGCAGTGTATAAAAAACAAAACAGCTTCTGAGATGCTGATTAGGGGAAGACTGACTGGGAAAAAAAGTAAACATGCATTGAAAAGGCGCTATTTTACAGGGTCAGCAAGATGGTCATATTACACTTACAAGGGCAAAAATTCTGAATAAAGAAGCAAGTAAGAGACTTCCATTCAAAAGGTTTCTGAATGGCTGTGTTCATTGTGGCCTATATTAAATCAGAAAGGAAAGGAAGTTCAGCTTCAAACAATGGATACAGAAGCCCTGGGTACTCTGATAGCTCATTACAGCCTTTCCCCACCAGCCCTTTTGTCTCATGTGGAAAAACAGGAAGGATTCAATGAAGCACAGGAGGTGGTGAGCGATGGTGAGGTTTCCTTTCAATGGACAACAGATTGTCCCAACTGCCAAAGTGGAGCTAGGAACTGCCTGCCATACAGGCAGCAGTGCCAGTCATTTTGCAGATTTTATAGGTTTTTTCCTCATTAGAAAAAAATGAAGAAGCAAGAAGGCACTTCAGACTGGATATAGGAAAGCTTCCACGTCATGGACATTGCCAGGAAGCAGTCACCCCTCTAGCAAATTAAGGAAGATCTATTCAGTCACTGTTGGAAGCAAAGTCAGAAACCGTATTATTTCCTTGGGCTGGCTCTGATTTCTCCTTCAGCAGAGGAGTACGTATAGAGAACTGGGTTTCCTTATTCTTAAGTTCAGAACTTCTGCATTTCTGTTGAATTTTACTTTTATCTGCTATTAGCCTTCCTCTGCCTCATGTTGCCCTGTTGTCTGGTTGTTCACAGCAATCACCGTCACCAAACAGAAAATGGCAATAGAAAGAAGAGAATGTACAGTATGAGCTGGACCTAGTTTAGGATTGTATCTAAACACGACTGCTACATGCTACTAATTATACCGATTACCATAGCTGGGGAATGGTTAGCATACTATTGCTTGTAAGAACAGGTGATATCCAGCAACATCTCTGCTAGAAAGCTTAGAACTAAAACAAGCAGCATGAGATACCTTCAGTTGCTTTTGATCTGGGGCTTTATAAAGCTTCTCCATTTTGTCTATATCTGCATCTAATTCAGTATGATAGAGCCAGTGGTTTTTTCCTGGATCAACCTGTTTAAAAAGGAAAAGTTGGAAAGGCTGAAGATTTAAGTCTGACCCTTTTAATAAGAAAATATGCCACATACAGAACAACTTTCCAATACTCTCTATGTAGTCAAATACGGCTTAGAAGGCTCACTGCTGAATTTTTCAAGATCAATTTTATCCTAATTTTTATTAGAAAATAAATTTAAAATGCATTCTTGCTAGAAAAACAACTACCTATCACAAAAATAAAAAAGATGCTCTGATCTAGCGAAGATTACAATATTTTGGGGTTGCAGTCCATCACATATATAAATTCAGTTAAATTCAAAGCACTCCAATTTAAGCACTGCTACTGATGAAAGATAAGCTCTAATATACACACACACAACTATATTGCATACATTATATATTCAATTTACCTTTCTATCCTCTCTAATAAGGATAGAGCAATCTCCAGGAGTATAATCCCATATCTTTTTTGGAGGCTAATGGAAAGCAGAGGAGGAAATGAGGAAATGAAGATAAAGACATCACAGAGAATATGGAAACTCAACTAGTGCAGAAAGAGTATATTGGGGAAAATTGTGTCAACATCAGAAATAAAAAGTGAAAAGAGAGAGAAAATAAACCTGTTCTAGAACAACCACAGATTATAGCAAGAAAACTGTGCAGTCTTGATCTGGTTTGCTTGAAACAACAGCTTAATAACTGCTACCAACCCCTCTGAGCCTCATAGGAACCGTAATTTAACAAATACTGTTTGGTAATCATTTCAAAAAGATAATTCTTTTTCCCAAAAGAAAAATAAACAAGTATGTTTATACCATGGTAATGGATAGTTCTATTCTTAAGAGCATCCTAGTTTTTAACATCGTACATACCGGAGTTTCTAGAGATGGTGGTGTAAAACAATGTAAATATAGAGATATTCATTTCATATTCTGAATAATTAACCAATGCTATTATTTCAGTTGAATAAAATCAGAGAAACTAGTTTAACGTGCAGGATAAACATTTTAGCGCAATTCTGGGTCCCAAGACATTTTGGAAGCTCTCTCTGTTCACCAAGTTTGCCTACTATTGGTGAACAGAGAGAGCTTCCAAAATTTATCCTTTCACAATTTATCCTCTATGATTTATCCTCTATGATCCTTACACAATTTATCCTTATACAATTTATCCTCTATGATTCATAGAATCTCATTCAGAGATGGATGTGATGCTATGACCTTATTTTCAAGATTTCAGGACACCCTAGAGACATTAGGGTTCAAAGTTTCTGACTTGTAATATTTGGAGGGCTTAAGGGGAGAAATATAATCATACAGAAACAGGATAAGTTCTATGTAAGCCCCCAGAAGACCAGACAGGATAGGCGATCATGGTGCAGTCCCTTAGTCCTGTTTGTTCTAGAACAGTGGTTCTCAACCTTTCTAATGCCGCAACCCCATAATACAGCTCCCCATGTTGTGGTGACCCCCAACCACTTATACATCACCGGGTGCCAGGGGCGTGGCCAAAGAAAAGGGGAAAAAATGGCGGACAGCCTTGTTTGGCGACCCCCGTGAAATGGTCGTTCGACCCCAAATGGGGTCCCGACCCACAGGTTGAGAACCATTGTTCTAGAAGGTGTTTGTCTATATCCGTTCTTGAATATGAAGATGATTTATCAAATACCAAAAAGTATTTGCCCCAGCTTCCTGTCTCTTGTAAGGCCTTTAAAAAATATCTTGCAGAAATCTTCCAAATTGGATCAAGAAACAAATCTTTGCAAATATATAGTTTATTCGTAGAACAATTGCTCAAAAAACTGCAATCAGAAGTATCCAATAGATACTCTAATAATCATGAAATCATCCTATCAAATTTAAAATATTACTTTTATTATTTTTCAGTTACAGCAACAATGTGATTAAAAATTCTAATAATGGTTAGTTGTTACACAGTGAATTAGCACTGGATTCTCTGAAGCTTGAAAATTTCGTTCCAAGAAATGAATATTTACTGCTACAAATCTGTATCTATAATTTACCATGGATATTTGGAAAAGCTGGAGATACCTTTTGGCACTTGATCTTTTCTCCCTTATTCCTTCTAAGTTGTGAAGCATCGGGATAAATTGATACAGTGCAATGAAGGGGGAGATAAAGGATTGTACAGATTTAAGGATGAAACAGTCATTTCTGGTGGAAGTATTTTATAGAACTGGTTTTGGAATTCTCTGAATAATCAAACCTTGGGTTTTCTCTAATTTTATTTGAAAGTTGAATCTTTTCTCCATAAGCTTTACCAAATCTCATCCATTGCCAACACTGAATTTTTTGATGAATAGTTCTAATGCTTACTGAGATCTTTACAATCTACTGTAATACTGCTACTGTGAAAAATCTTTTTGTTTGTTTGTAACCTTCAAGTGCATCATAAGGCAACAATTTTTGAAGCGAGGTACTTCAAATGGGTTAATTCAAAGCAGGGGTAGTCAACCTTGGCTCTTTTATGAGTCATAAAAGAGTCAAGGTTGACTACCCCTGATTTACAGCATCCAAAATCCAGGACCTATTATTCTGGATTTTTATTATTATTGTGGCCCCTTCACTGATGCGGTCAGCTACAGTCAGGTGTTCATCACTTCCACTGCTAGCTTTGCCCAAGGAAAATCAATGGGGAAGCCAGCAGGAAATTGGAAGTTCTAGGCAAGTAAAGGGCTTCTGCCAGGTGAGAAAGGAGGGGCTACGTGGAGGGATGACATGCAGGTTGGGAGTTGCATAGCAGTGACAGACAGACTGGTTAGTGTTGGGAAGGCACACAAGTGATAGGAAAGTAAGTATCTCTGAAAACTCACATCAAATTGTATTTTAGGCTTTTCCTTGAAAGTATAAAACATTCTGGGAAAAGGATTAGGGGTTTATAAATGGGCATCACATTCATGAAAGCCATGAAAAATCAATCCAAAAGATAATCTCCACTTGGACTTTTCTTTCTTTCAATCTCTATGTGTGCCTTCTTGTCAGTATTGACTCTTGGACAAGTCTCTGAAATTTTCTTGACAAAGTTTTGCAGAAGTGGTTTGCCATTTCCTCCTTCCTAGGGCTGAAAGAAAGTGACTGGCCCAACGTCATCCAGCTGGCTTTGTGTATAAGGTGGGATTAGAATTCATGATCTCCCAGCTACTAGCCTGTTGCCTTATCCACTACACCAAATTGGTTTCCCCCACATATTTTCTAAAATTACGTAGTACGTAATAGCTGTCCATGGAAGTAAATATAATCAATGATAGATTTTACCATTTCCAGCTGGCATTCAGTAATTCATTTTGCCTCAACAGTTTTAAGTTATGAATTTTACTGTTGGCATAATTTTGTGCAATAGATTAATTATCAACTTTATTATTGGAAATATCAGAAAACCACAGTACATCTTTCTTGGATCAATCATATTTAAAAGTGTATGAAATTATTTTGGATGAAGAATCAACCAAACAGCAAAGAGCTTTGAAAAACTGTACGTTGAATAGTTTTATTCAAATCTATTTTCTATTTCTTAATTATATTAGCAAAGCTTTTTCCCCAGTTTGCATTGGTGTGTAGACAAATATCCTTTTGGATAAAATTAACAAATATGAATGTTTGAAGTTTTTTCTTCTCCAATTTGTTTATTTACTTTTCTTTCAGTCAATTTATACGGCTGCCCATCTGGCAACAGTCACTGCCTATCATTAACATATATTAAAAACTCAAATACAACCAAATGAAAATAAATATTTCAAATGCAGTGGTTGGCAGTTCCCTCGGTTTGCCTCTTCAGAAGACAGGGACAACATGTCTCATCCTTCAGGCATTTGGCATTTTACCAAGTTCTTCAGAGTTTGAAAAAGTGAAATCAACAGGCTCCTTGACTGTTTTTTATGCAATTCATTCAAATTTAACAGATTTAAACTCATTAAAATAATAGCATTTCCACTGGTCTCAACCTGGAGTTCTGTACCTTCAACTTGCACTTCAGATTTTCCTGGTGGAATATACAGCATAAAGAATTTTTACAAATTGTTTATGAACTATAATGTTATGTTTCCATCCAGTTTCTTCTAGGACAGGGGTAGGCCACCTTGGCTCTTTTATGACTCATGGACTTCAACTCCCAGAATTCCTGAGCCAGTCACGCTGAGGGGAAAGGGAGAGGTATCCAAGCTGAGCCATGCTGGCTCAGGAATTCTGGGAGTTGAAGTCCACAAGTCATAAAAGAGCCCAGGTTGCCTACCCCTGTTCTAGGAGGTTAAGAAGGGGTCTTACACAGGGGACCATTTCATCTTATGATTTGGCTTTCCTAAACAATGGATGTTCTTACTGTATGTAGACTAATTCAGTTACATTCAGTTAAAATATCCAAATACTATTACTTTGTTCCTTGAACAACAGGATGCTGGGAAGCTTTCTGCACAGCAGTACAGAATTTTACACATAGTAAGAAAACTACTCTACTTATACCAAAGTGCTTAAAATGATAAAGAGAAGCTGAGTCTTGGCAGGTATCTTTCAGAGACACAATAATAAGGGCAACACATGGACTGAGAGTGCAGGTGGGGAGGTGGGTATGTGTGGACTTATCTGCATTAAGTCTAACAGCTGGAACCAAGAGGTGCCTCTTCATGTTGTAGGCATTCACCAATGAGCATTTTACTACTGCAAAAATATTTGAAGCCTCAACTCAACTCCAGTCTTGACATGCACCTTGGACTCCCATCTCCTCGTGCTTTCCTGATTGTACTCTGTACTGCTTATCTCCTGCAAAGTTTGCTTGGATTTTTTGATGCTGGAATGATTCTCAATCTTACTCTTTCTTGGCCTTTACTGTTCTTAAGCCTTAAAGTAGAAAAAAATGTTCTGTTCTATATCTGTCAGAACCCACTTTGAATGCTGTTTCTACTTCTGGACGTCACACTTTTAAGAAGAATTTGGAGACACAACCAAAGATCATAAAGGTGATCAGAGAATAGTAAACATAATTGTACAAGATGAACTATGAGAACTGAGCATGTTTGTAGAAGACAAAACTATGGATATGATAGCATTCTTCAAATACCTAAAATAATGTCAGATACAAAAGTCAAGTAAATGTTTAATCTTAGACTGCAGATTGTGGAAGTTGAATAGCAGAAAAGGATAGTTCATGAATGGGGTCAAATTTGTTGAAGTAATGGCTGGATACATATTTGCTTGGGATGCTCTACTTTCAATTGCTACAATGGGCAATAATTGACTAGACTAGACTAGGTGAGACAAGACGAGACGAGAACAGAATCTGGAAGGGACCTTGGAGGTCTTTTAGTCCAGCCCCACATTCAAACAGGAGAACCTATACCATCTCAGACAAGTGACTGTCCAGTCTCTTCTTAAAAACCTCCAGTGATGAAGCACCCATGATTTCTGAAGGCAAGCTTTCCACTGGTTGATTGTCTTCACTGTTAAGACACTTCTCCTTAATTCCA